CAATTAGTATGAACTACTTATCACAACTAGTAATGAGCAATGAAAATATTAACTACTTCTAGCAGTTACTATGAAATACTTATATGAACTAGTAATGACCAATGAATACTAAGCAAATTATATATTACCTTCTGTCTATCAGAGATTATGGTGTAAAAACCAAATCTCCCAGATTCTCCACCAATAGCTACCTTCAGTTCTGTGAGAAACCAGGTCCAACTCTTTGTGTCTTCTTTGTCCACAACTCCAAAGGCAATGGGATAGATGTTATTATTCCCATCCCTTCCTGTGGCAGCAAGGATTTGTTGGCCAGTTGAGAGCTTGATGAAACATCCATCCACACCTGCAATGGCACACAAGATATGTTATAAACAAAGTATGGTGCACCACATTTATGTCATATATAACACAGTTTAGTAGTCACCTATGAATGGCCCGCATCCATTCAGAAATCCCTCCTTGCAAGCATTCAAACATATGAACAAACCATGGAACCTTGGATTGATGCTTGGATGGTCTTTTAGGAACTTAGTAGTGACAATGCACCTACTACCTGGATTGGTGTCTAACACAGCCTGCAAGTAATCCCTTATCCTGGTGTATTGCCCCCTCTGATATCCTTGCACCACCTTAATAGCATTGTTCTTAGCCCTGTAGGCCATATGAGTGCTGATCTCAACTCCATACTTGCTTTTTAGATTTTGCATTATTGTACTTATTGGTGTGTTCAAGTCTGTTCTTATTGCTTCTAAAACTTCATGTGTAACCCACTTTGTAGTCACCTTGGTGCTCTCTGCTACAGCTGGACATGTGTGCAACAAATTAGTTTTCCTAATGCAGAAAGTTTTCTCTTTTCCCACCACAGAAGCTGCAATGAAGAAAGGGCAGTCTTCATGTGTGCACACAGCTATAATTCTGTCACTGCAGTTCCTATGAAACTAATAGTTTCTGTTCTGTGCTATGTGGAAAGTGAGAAGTGCCCTTCTAAATTGGTACACATTATCAAAGCATAACTTCTTAGCAAATTGTAGCTATGGGCTCTCTCTATCCTCATGATACCATACCCTTGGTTTGGGTTTTTTAGCCCTAGACTTACTGCCTAGCACAAATGCTAGGGGTACAACCCCATCATCTTGCTCCTCCTTCAAATCACCAGGATCTGGATCCTCATCAGATGATGGTACCCAAACATCCTCAGACTGTTGCTCCAAACTAGCATGTGATCTTGTGGTTGGCCCCTTTCTTACTTTCAACTTCTTCCTCTTTTGCCCCTGTGGTAGCACCTCCTTTTCAAGTTCCTCATGATCTCCATGCTCCTCTTGCTCTGCATTTTCCTCATGCACTTCCTCTTGTATCTCATAAGGTTCATCTACATCCGTGTCACCTTCAAAATGTAAGAGTGGGTCCTCTCTCTGCCTCTTTAGCTCAGCCATCCTAGCCATGAAATCCTCATCTTCCTCCAAGTCAGAGTCATCTTCAGTTAGTAGCACAGGAAGTTTTCTTTTCACTGCCTGCACCCTCTCAACATTCTTCTGATGCTGCTTAAATCTATGAATTTTTGATCTCCTTCTAAGCTCCATACTTCTTTCTAACTCATGTTGCTCCATGTCAACATCATCTCCATTGCCTTGCTCAATATCAACATCTGCTTCATTGCCTTGCTCCATATCAACATTGTGGCTCTGCTGTGTGGAGAAAAACTGGATTGGTTCAGGCTCCTCAACTACTGCATCTCTTTTTGATACTTTGGATGGTGACTTGTACAACACCCCAACATCATTCACCTCATATACAATGCTCTCTCCAACATTGCCTACAGGAACTTGCTGATCACAAATATAACCTCTGTTTATATCTGCAGGTCTGGGCTCACTACCCCTAACTATTGTCAGGTTTACTATGTTCTGGTCTTTATTGGCAATGTCATCCAGCATCTCATCCACCTTATCATCATCACATATCTCCTCCAAACCAGCTACTCCCAACCCAGCATCCCTCACATAATACATATAGTCTTTACTTCCATATCCTGCTGTCTCTATGAGTGCTAACAGATTGAAAAAAGTGATGTCTGAAACACACATAGTCCTTTCCAAGTTATCCATGTCATGAAAGTGCAGTCTAACCTCCCAAACATCATCAAACAAGCTACAAAAAGGAACAATTCTTGTACTTATTAATTAAACAGTATAACACTAACTACAAACAATACAAGTGACATATTTAAAATATACTATGCATACCAATTTCAACAAGAGCTAATTGTGACCCTAATGTCTACTAAATAAACAGTGCATCCTAACCCAAATAGCAATCAAAATCACAAAAATTATCACTATATTCTCTCCTAAACAGAGCATACTAATATCACTACAATCTAATTTAGAGAGCAGATGAACACTTAGTACTAGGCAAAAGATCCATTTTTTATTTACACACCTAACCCAAGGATGTGCTGCTTGCAACTACAATCACTATATTCTCTCCTAAACAGAGCATACTAATATCACTACAATCTAATGCTGTGTTTACACACCTAACCCTAACCCTAACTATGGAATCGACAGAAAATGACGGGGGTGGGGGAGGCAGAGGAGATATCTTACTCCACACCGCCGAATGCAGATGCCCAGTGGTGGCTCCCCGTCGGAGTAGCCTGCACAACACGGGCCAGAGCGCCGGCGGCGCGGTACTCCAGCGACGGGGACGGTGGTCTGCTCCGCGGGCCCTGGCTAGGGTTAGAGCTACCGCAGACCTCCTCGGGTGGCTTTGGATCTCCGCCACCAAACAACCCTCCTGCGGCGTCGCCACCTCCGCCATCCACTCCGCCGCCGGCGTCCGGGCTCGCCGTTGCCATGAATGAGACAGAGATAGAGGAGAGTGCGCCGTCGCGGGGATGGTGGGAAAAATTTCAGATGCGGGAGAGGTGTCGATTCGATCTGGTCTCTTGACCTAGCGGGGGCACCGGCGGGCACTGTAGCACCGTTAGACGGCGTCAGCTCGCGGCCGTGAGCCACGTCGACAAGACAGGGTCCCACCTGTCATAATAGTGCTTAAACTGCCCGAACAGGAGGTTTGGTGCTTTCTGCAAAAGATTAGAAAAAAAATCAGTGTTTTCTGCACCAAAAACGTAGAAGGGTGTTTCCTGCAAACCTAAGCTGAAATATGATGGTTTTCTGCAATTCACTCCAATGGCTACTGTACGTGCACGTGCCACCCCCTTACATGCATATAATCCATGCATGCATATATGTTGTGGCGGGTTGGTGCATGCATTACTCGAGTTGGTGTGCCCATCACATGACGAGGATACACACGAATTTTTGTTTTAGGCAGCTTTACGTATAGTCGCTCCAAATTTTATGATCAAAATCATATTTAGTTAGTTTCGTATGCATATCGAACCAGCGGTCATTAATTTTTGTTTTGTATGCAAATTCAGTCTGCTGCAGGACCTGACAATGAGCTGATAAGGCGAACCCAGCACGCGAAAGAGGAGCTGTACGCTCTCCTCTCTGAGCTGCGATGGAGAAACGTGTACCTGTCTCTCAGCACGGAGAACGTGCAGAACAGGCGGCTGCTATGGATGCTTTCTGTGCAAGTTGAGCCTGAACGCCATGACCGCCTTTGGTATATATTGTTCTCAAATAAACCTTAAACACAATCTTCCATTTTGCATGCTCATATATAGTTTTACGGCTCCCTCGAGTGTGTTCATAGTTTTAATCTTGGGCACCCTTTAATCTTTGGCCTCTGACGACCAACATGCACGCATGCATGCAGGCGCTCTTACGTCAGAGCAAGATGGAGCAATGATATTCTCTTTGGCTATGTGTTTCTGGGATACTACTATCTTTCCGATTTTGCCGAGCCTGAAAAGAAACAAGAAGAAGAAAGCCCCGGTGGAACAAGTGAAGACGCGATTGATGCGAGCGACGGAGAGCCAAAGTCTGATGCTGCTACCGAGTAGAGCTTCCAAGCATAATACTACCAGTACAAGTACTGTAATATTTATGAACATATTGAGAATTTTAGGAAGTGCATTTTTTGGCATTAAATCAAATTTTTTTACATTATAGTATGGGCATATGGTACATGTATTCGGATCTTTGCTCGCCATGTAATGCTCAGACATTAGGCGTTTTCGTGATGGTAAACAAGTGATTATAATCGCGAATCAACCTGTGATTGAGTTGGTTAGGTGGACAGTGGTATCCCCAACCTACTAGGGTTCAAATCCTGGTGCTCGCATTATTTCTGAATTTATTTCAGTATTTCCGGCGATACGCTTTCAGTGGGAGGAGACGTTCCCGTCGACGACGAGGTGCCTACGGTGACTTCGTAAATCTCTATATGAGCGCTTGTGTCTGTACTGAGGCTCAAAGAAAAAACAAGTGATTATAATCAATGTGTTTCATCCGCATGCCTACTTTCTCTGGATTGGATTGCTCTCCCCAGAGCCCAGTCCTTTCTACCCTAGCTGGAAATCAGTGAGGACCTTGCGCTAAAACAAGCAGTTGGGTGAAAAATAGTGGTTGTTTTCCAACGTTGCCAATACGCATTACCCGCAAAAAAATATATAAAAAAACTCATAGCTCACAGACGGTAGAGCACCCAAGCAGTGTCGTCCGGGAAAATGGCCGGCAAGAATCAATTTAGAAATATGAATGCCAAGCATGTGCGGAGGACCTCGAGGGCAGCACAGGAGATTTGGGAGCGACGCGATGATAGCTGGGAGGTGGATCAGCGGATGAGCGTCTTGTGTTGTACCACAGCACAAGATGCTTAAGTATTTGGATGCCGTTCATATACTTGGTCTAAATAGGATACAATGATACATTTGATACGATGCCAAAATAGTTTCTGCAGTAGCTTGTATCAGGATATATTAACTCCCAACTTTGCAGTACATAATGACTGGCAAACAAAAATGTTGCCCCTATTACATGCCTTTGTTGAAACTCTTTGTGGCTCGGTAAAAACCATCCAAAATCCTCGACTCAACTTACATGTACAGCACACCAAAAGTCATTTATCAACCAAATGATGAAAACGTTATGTCTCGTAATTTGTACTTCCTCCGTAAAGTAATATAAGAGCGTTTAGATCACTATACTTTAATGATCTAAACGCTCTTATATTTCTTTACAGAGGAAGTAAATGAGATACAACACAGGGGTGTATTCAGGCAAAATAGTCACATCAACGATCAATCAGCTGAACTCCACCTCTACCAAAACTGTGTCAATGTGCTGCCGTTGCCACAGAGATCCAAGTGTGGTATAGTCCATGAGTTTTTGGCTTGGAAAACACAGTCAGTAAAGCGCATACCATTTTCTTACAATATAATGCATGCTCCGAAAACAACATGGGAAAACCTACAAATACAACTATAAATTCCTTTTTGCGTCACAATCCTTCTTGAAGGCATCGATTTGGTGGATTTGTGTGGTCGCTGCTCTCTGCGGGTTGGATGGTGGTGGTGGTGCGACTGGCTGGGGTCGACGGTGGTGTGGTCGGTGTTGGTGAGGAGGTGCTGCTTTGCCTACGACTTCTTGGCTTGACCATTCGTTGGAGTGGTTCGATTCTTCCATCAGAAGTCGGGTTAGCGGGGTGGGATCTTCTCTGGAGCACCTCGTTCCTGTACGACACCTCTCCCCTCTACGGGGTGTTGTTGGGTGGCGATCAGACGGCCAACGTTCAAGCCTCTCCTTGATTGGTCAGATGAAGATGGAAGTTGACACCTCGGGGGAATCCCCTAGCCCGGGTCCTCCTGGTGCGGATGATGGCGGCGCATCCGATGTCGCAGCCCTTGTTGAAGGCATCATCTCGGGGTCTGCTTGGTTGACGTGTGGGTGTTGCTGCAGGGATGTTGGTGGTAGGTGGTGCGACCGGTTGGGTCGACGGTGGTATGTGTTCGTCTGTGGTGGTGTCCGTCGGTGTCGCCCCGTTTGCTGTGCATGCTCAAGACCTCCATGGCTGCCGTTGTGGTGCAGCGAGCTTCGTGCTCTTGGCGTTGTCCCGGTTCATCTTTGCTCAATGATGCCGCAAGTTTCCTCCCCAACTTGCTAATCGTTTCCGACTCTTCATGGCGGAGTTCCCCGTCAAGGTTCGTGCTAGTCACTCGTTGATGTGGATGCTCCTCTCTTGCGCCGTGGTGCTCGGTACGCACGCCGGTGTGGCGCGTTAGGCCGCTTGTCAAGTCTTGGTATTGTGATCCCTTGACGACTCCCCTCATCTACTTGTGCCTCTCGTGGTGATGTTCTTCGGGTTGCTAGCTAGGCGTGCCTTGTCTTGGGCGTCTTTTGTTTTGGTTTCTCTTCTTTTACCCTCTCTTGTACGGTTTTCGGCCCGGTTTTCCTCATAAACAAGGTCTAATTGTCTAGGTTTTCGATCCGATTTTCCTTATAAACCGGATCAATCTCATGGCATTAAGGCCACTTTGAAATATATTCAAGTGGGGAGCCTTTCCCCCCTGGTGACCATTTCAAAAAAAAAACAGCTGAACCTGGGTAGTGCTTGTGTGTGTGTGTGTGTTGGACCTCGCCTGCGGTGGCGTGTTTTGTTGTTGTTCGAGTGGTACCTTGTGGCTTTGTGCTCGATGGTTTGCTTTATTTATAAAGCGGGGCGAAAGCCTTTTTCAATAATAAACGCCATGACTGCCTTTGGTAAATGAGTACATATAATCTCAAATTTACCCCAAACATGCATGCTAGCTCAAACACAATCTTTCATTTCTCTTCTACTCCGTAGCTTCTTTCACGGCTCGGCTGTGTTCATAGTTTTAATCTCTAGCCTCCGAACAACATGCATGCATGCAGGCGCTCTTACGTCAGGGCAATATGGAGCAATGATATCCTCTTTGGTTATGTGTTTCTGGGATACTACTATCTATCCGATTTTGCCGAGCCTGAAAAGAAACAAGAAGAAAGCCCCGACGGCGACGGAACAGGTGAAAACGCTATTGATGCGAGCGACAGAGAGCCAAAGCGCCTGATGGGATACTACTAGTACTACTACAAGTACTGCTGTAACATTTATTAACATATTGATAATTTTAATTAGCAAGTGCCTTTTTTGGCATTAAATCATTTTTTTAGTATGGACGTACGGTACGTCTATTTGGATCTTTGCTCGCCATGTAATGCTCAGACGTTATGCGTTTTCGTGATGGTAAAGAAGCGATTATATACAATCAATGTGTTTCATCCGCATGCCTGCTTTCTCTGAATTGGATTGCTCTCCCCAGGGCCCAGTCCTTTCTACCCTAGCTGGAAATCAGTGAGGACCTTGCGCTAAAAAAAGCAGTTGGTGAAAAATAGTGGTTGTTTTCCGACGTTGCCAATACTCGTTACCCACAAAAAAAATGCTCATATCTCACAGACGGTAGAGCACCTAAGCAGTGTCGTCAGGGAAAATGGCCGGCAAAAATCGATTTAGAAATATGAAGGCCAAGCACGTGCGGTGAACCTCACGTGCGGCACAGGAAATTTGGGAGCGACGCGATGATAGCTGGGAGGTGGATCAGCGGATGAGCATCTTGTGCTGTCGTACAACACAAGATGCTGAAGTATTTGGATGCTGTTCATTTGCTCGGTCTAAATAGGATACAATGGTACATTTGATACGATGCCAAAACAGAGAACCGCTTTCTGCAGTAGCTTGTATCAGGATATATTAACTCCCAACTTTGCAGTACATAATGACTGGCAAAGAAAAATGTTGCCCCCCTTTACGTTCCTTTGTTGAAACTCTTTGTGGCTCGGTAAAAACCATCCAAAATCCTCAACTCAACTTACATATACAGCACACCACAAGTCATTTATCAACCAAATGATGAAAACGTTATGTCTCGTAATTTGTACTTCCTCCGTAAAGTAATATAAGAGCGTTTAGATCACTACTTTAGTGATCTATAAACGCTGTTATATTACTTTACAGATGAATTAGATGAGATACAACACAGGGGAGTATTCAGGCAAAATAGTCACATCAACATTCAATCAGCTGAACTCCACCTCTACCAAAACTGTGTCAATGTGCTGCCGTTGCCACAGAGATCCAGGTGTGGTATAGTCCATGAGTTTTTGGCCTGGAAACACAGAGTCAGTAAAGCGCATACCATTTTCTTACAATATAGTGCATGCTTCGAAAATAACATGGGAAAACCTAGGAATACGAACTATAAACTCCTTCAATAAAAAAGAACTTGAGGGTGAGGCAGGGGAGCGATCTACTCACAAATGAATATTCTGGAGATCAATCTCGTTAAACAAATTGATGTAGAAACGGAACCCATCTGGACTGACATCCCTGCAGAGGAGACCTGAGAATATTTTTTATATTGGTTAGTTCATTCAGTATGGAACTAAATACATGTCTTGCCAATACTTGAAAGGAGCAACTGCAGGACACCTTTGTTTTCTGCATTTAGAAGATGCTCCTTTGCTAAAGCTGGTGCAATCCCCAGTGTAAATGCAGCGTCGCTGGGGCTTATTCCTTTCAGAAGAGCGTCCGGCTTTTGCGCGAGTGATGATATTCTTGCAAATACCTGTTTTTATCGGGGGGAGATCAGTATGTGATTATGCTACTACTAAAGATGGTAGGTGCAACGCAAGTGGCGACAAGTCAACAAGTGCATGGAAACATGTGGATACACACTAACAACAATTAACCAGAACCAGTCATTCATTTCATACTTTTGGTTAAAACTATGATTTGTGCAGGAATCAGATTTGCCAGGTCAAGAGAGAAAATCAAGGCACAGTATTTGTATGGCTGCTGTATGTCATGCAGCGTTATTTGATATGAATATAAATGACATTTGGACTTATCATTGCCACGGCATACCTCATCATCACTATGCGTCTTGGTCTGGATCACCTTCACTCCACTATCAAATTTCCGGAGCATTACTGGGCTGCTTATTACAAATCAACATCTATAAGCAAAACATCAAAACCATAATCAATGGCTGGCAACAAACCAGCTGAAAAGATAAATTCTCTGTTTTTACAAAACCATATCTAGGGATTAGATTACTCTTGTTTTTATATCATCTTGGATTTGTATATTTTGACAATTAAAGGCTTCAGCAATTATATCAAGAAAATGATATACATACACATCAAATTTCTCCCAAAGGGAGCAAGCTTGCAAAAGATCCTCTGGTGAGATCAACTCTAGAACAAACAAAAAATCAATTTCAGAACGCAAGTGACAAGGGAATTTCGTACAGATATTCATCAGCAAAAGCACAGACCTGTTCCCCTAGCACGGTTGAAGAGACAGTAGACATCGACTAGTGCCATCATACCACCTGCTCTCTCAACTGGTACTCTTACAAAGTCAGCCAGCTGATTATGAAGAGGATAAAAGAAGGCTCAGTAAGTCTATTTCTTAGTATGTGGCGTAACAGAAGAAAAATCTGAAGATGAAAACAAAACAGCTTTCAAACTAGAAGAAAACTATGAAGGCATGAACAGTTTCTGTGTTGCTACCAACTGAATATGCAAGAAAGATGTAAGAGGTTTTCCCTGTATCTTTAATGGATGGGAAGAACCCCTAGCCCCGCCAAACACAGGGCAGGTTTTGTTTTTCTCGGAGGGATTGTTTCACTAGCTTGAAGGGAACTGAAAGGTGATCGAACATCGGCCCAGGTTAACTGAAAGCTATTACCCAACTAGCTAAACAAGGACTAGAAGGGGTCCAAATTTGATCAAGTTCATGCATAGGCAGAATGAAAATATGGAAGCACACAAATGACCAGCAAGTATTATTCAATATGGGTATAGTAAAAGGCAAGGAAGATGACTGTTTCCATCCAGCGCAGACATTTTATACCGGAAATTACTCCGTGCTTGCGTTATTTGGTGATAAAGCCCCCAGGTAAACATTTAGCAATTGGCATATGATTTTCCAAATACATGCATTATTATTTGCATTGCAATTCAGCTGCACACTAAGTGAGATTTTCCACCATAAGTTCTGGAAAACCATGAACAAGCACGAATTACCTGTCGTGAAAGCTGCTGATGGTACAAAGCACCAGCAGTTTCCTTTGTCACAGGAGACACGATGCCTACGCTCAATAGCAAATCCTGCATGTCTTGCTTAGAACCCATCTCTTCGTCATTAGAATTGGATTGAGCAGATGAGTTCGTCAATAGCTTTTGCCTCATTTTCTCTGCCAGCTCCATCATTTCCTTGGCTTTGCTCTGTGTAGGAAGAATGTTTCACAAAATTACGACCGGTTCATTGCAATTTAGAGCCTGTCATCCAATCTCAGATGCTTGTACTCCGTCATAAACTCTATAAATGATAACACCATCTGAAGCATGAACCAGGAAAGAGGAACGAACCATGAGGGCGTTGAGATCCTGGAAGGCATCCTGCAAGTTCTGCCCCGCGCTCTCCCACGTCTCCTGCTCCTTCCGCAGTATCCCCGCCACTCCAACCACGGGCATCCTGATCGCCAGATCCTCCTCGGCTGGGGCGGCTCCCTCAGCCACCGGGGCGCCACTGGCCGGAGCAGCCGAGGCGGTCGCCTCCCAGGCCCTCGCGCGGATGGCCTCGAGCAGCCTCCCGTAGAACACATCCACGTCCGCCTTACAGGTGACGACGACGGCGACGACCTCCGACCGCGACGGGGGCAGGGAGATCTGGATGCGGATGCGCGGGTGATGCGACGACGACGAGGAGGACGAGGAGGAGAAGAGGGAGCGGAGTGGGTTGTGGTTGTGCCTGCGGTGGGGCGGGTAGGCGTGGGCGATGGACGCGAGCGGGAGGGCGCGGGCGGAGAGGGAGGCCTCGTGGAGGAAGACGAGCCGGTGGGAGGTGAGCGCGAGGAGGCAGCCGTGGAGGGGCGCGAGGCGGGGGTTCTCCTCGGGCTCCAGGTCGACGAGCGGAAGCAGGTGCCGCTCGATCTCGCCGGCGGACAGCACCGCCCGGCCGGACGCCGTGACGGTCGCAGCCGGGAGCCAGTCGGCTGCGGCGACGGACATGGTTGTGGAGAGTTTGGACTTTGGAGGTTTCCCCCCGTGTTTTTGTGTAAAAAATGTTGTTGTTTGTTCGGCCTCGTCAATTTAATCGAAGTTTCAATTCTGTTCCAAGTCAAACCTTTTTAAGTTTGATCAAGCTCGTAAATAAATATTAACATTTAAAAACACTAATTAGTCTCACAAAAAAATCATAAAATATAATTTTGCGCTATGCAGATTTGGGGTTGTAGATTTTAACCCAACTTTTTGATTGGTTAGTCAAACCTAAACAAGTTTGACTTATGGTATCTCCCGCAAAAAAAGTTTGACTTGTAGCAAAACTAGAATTTCAATTAATTTAAAGCGAAAGTAAATACAAGAAGAAAGTGTTGATTATGTAAAGCAACAACTTAAATGCAACTTATAACAATTGGTCAGGAACATAATATACCGGTTCAACAATTTTTAATAAGTTAACATGTTGGCATCGAACTTGTAAGACTGACATGGCAAGAAAAACAATATTATGCTTTGCTTCTCTACCAACAATATCCACCTTGATGGACCATGACAACAATAGCAATAATGATGGGTGGTGTCCGACATAGTTAGTACATAAGGGTTAACAATCTCAGTCGAAACATCCGCAAGCTTCTCAGCAACAACTGCTTACCCTACCACACCTCTAGCATGTTGCAGAGTATGGATATCTACTCGCGCGCGCGCACACACACACACACATACACACACACACACACACACACACACACACACACACACACACACATAGAGAGAGAGAGAGAGAGGGCACTGAACCTTATTCTCCAACATGAGCTCGCAAGTCCCACACCCTGTTGCGTCCATGTAGGCATTCATAAGGAATAAGCATGAGCACTACTTTAGGGATATTGGTTATTACCATACCTCTCGAAGATAGGTACCAAACTACCGGCGAGAGACCACCTACAAAAAGGATGGTGCTGGCCTCTGCCAAAGGAAAGAGCACTCACACATCAAAGAAAGAAGACACATGAGCACATATCCTGGCTCAGTAGATAGGAAAATTCCATTATAGTCATTCATATTCATCAACAAGGACATGTAGGCAAAATGTAGGGCTCTTACCCATCCAGAGGCTGGAATCTAGGTAAAGTGTAAAATCATTGTGTCACCATCATCGTTGATGAGATCCCTTTGAAAAACATCCCTTCTCCTTACAATTATTTCACGGCTATTGTCACATTGTCAACAAGTACCAATTTTGTGACACCGTCCACTAGGTCACAGGCGGCATTCGATTCCTCCGCCCCTCGAAAACAACAACACACTTCACTCCCACTGCTTTCCCACAAAATTCCAACCCCGCCTCCACGCGAATTTAGAGCATCTACAGCGGGAGTTGCCAAATATGACTCCTTATATGTCTGCGGACCCCTCATTTGTCCACCATTGCAACCAGACTCCTCATTTGAAAACCCTCATTTTCATACTACTCCATGCAGCATCCATTCCATCTACGTACTACATAATACATGATGTTGGGGAATGTAGTAATTTCAAAAAAATTCCTACGCACACGCAAGATCATGGTGATGCATAGCAACGAGAGGGAAGAGTATCGTCCACGTACCCTCGTAGACCATAAGCGGAAGCGTCATGAGAACGTGGTTGATGTAGTCGAACGTCTTCATGATCCGACCGATCCAAGTACCGAACGCATGGCACCTCCGAGTTCAGCACATGTTCAGTTCGATGACGTCCCACGAACTCCGATCCAGCAGAGCTTCACGGGAGAGTTCCGTCAGCACGACAGCATGTTGAAGGTGATGATGTTGCTACCGACGCAGGGCTTCGCCTAAGCACCGCTATGATATGATCGAGGTGGATTATGGTGGAGGGGGGCACCGCACACGGCTAAGGGATCAATGATCAACTTGTGTGTCTAGAGGTGCCCCCTGCCCCCGTATATAAAGGAGCAAGGGGGGAGACCGGCCGACCCTCTATGGCGCGCCAGGAGGAGTCCTCCTCCTCCTAGTAGGAGTAGGACTCCCCTCTTTCCTACTCCCGCTAGGATGGGAAAAGGAAGGGAGAGAGGGAGAAGGAAAGGGGGGGTGATGAAGCTATGTACCTAGGGTAGGGTCATGGATCTGTCCAAGATACCCTCCCCAAGGACATCTCTAAAGGAACCAGAAGCGGTCGAAGCAAAATCATCATCCACTCGACCGTGAAGCTATGTTCCACTCGACAGTATAGAAGACACTCGACTATGCGAACAACCACTCGACGATACAAGAAACCACTCGGAGTGTAGAAGGCCTAACGTCACTCAGGATGACGACGGGCGGTCATTCACTCTGTAACCTTAAAGATCATTTATATCTCTTTATTACTAGCGTTACTAGTAATGCCCTGCCTTAATGTACATTGAACCCTTTGTAACGTGGGTTGGCTTGGGTCCTGGCGCACTCTATATAAGCCACCCCCCTCCTCCGGGACAAGGGTTCGCACCCTTTGTAATTCACATGCATATATCCAGTCGGCCGCCTCCGGGCTCCGAGACGTAGGGCTGTTACTTCCTCCGAGAAGGGCCTGAACTCGTAAAACTCGTGTGTACAACTCCTCCATAGCTAGGATCTTGCCTCTACATTCCTACCCCCTATTCTACTTTCAGGCTTAGAACCACGACAACTGGCGCCCATCGTGGGGTAGGTGTCTTAGCGACTTTTTGAAAAGTTGCAATTTTTCCGATCCCCTTCATCATGGTTTCGGGCGGAGGTTTGGCTGAGGGCCGCGAGATTCGTCTCGGTGCACTCGTGTTTGTATCCGACGACTCCGCTTGGCTTCAGGAGGCTCCACTCGACGTTGACGCACTCCCCGCCCGTGAGGCGCGCGTGCGTCCGCGGTGTCCTCCTGCGGCAGCCGTTGACCCAGTATCAGTCGGCTCCAGTAGCTTTCCCCCTCCCCGCGGCCCACCGGAGCAAACGTTCCGGTCGGTCGAGGCTTCAGCGGTGGGTGAGGCATGCGGTGGCTCGCCAGTCGGCCACCCCTCAAGTCGCGACAATCGAGCCCGACGAAACTCTCTACGACCTGTTCGATCTGTCGACTGGCTCCGTAGAGACTGCATCCGAGTGCGACAGCAGCGACCCAGCGACAGAAGTTTTGATGGTCAATGGACCACGCAGTCCTCCTGGCTTCACCCGTGAAGACGGAGGCGATGGGGACGGCGATCCGTCGCGCGTTCATGAAGAGTACCGCCCCGAACCCCTCTCTTCGCAGCGGAGGGAGGAACTTCGCTGCCGGAATATGGATGGACTGCATGTTGGGTTTCGTAGTAATTTCAAAATTTTCCTACGCACACGCAAGATCATGGTGATGCATAGCAACGAGAGGGGAGAGTGTTGTCTACGTACCCACGCAGACCGACTGCGGAAGCGTTGACGCAACATAGTGGAAGTAGTCGTACGTCTTCCCGATCCGACCGATCAAGCACCGAAACTACGGCACCTCCGAGTTCGAGCACACGTTCAGCTCGATGACGATCCCCAGACTCCGATCCAGCAAAGTGTCGGGGAAGAGTTCCGTCAGCACGACGGCGCGGTGACGATCTTGATGCACTACAGCAGCAGGGCTTCGCCTAAACTCCGCTACAGTATTATCGAGGAATATGGTGGCTGGGGCACCGCACACGGCTAAGGAATAGATCACGTGGATCAACTTGTGTGTTCTAGGGTGCCTCTACCTCAGTATATAAAGGACTAGAGGGGGGGGAGGCTGGCCGGCCACAGGAGGCGCGCCAGGAGAGTCCTACTCCCTCTGGGAGTAGGATTCCCCCCCCCAATCCTAGTTGGAATAGGATTCGCGGAGGGGGAAAAGAGAGAGAGAGAGGGGGCCGGCCACCTCTCCTAGTCCTAATAGGACTAGGGGAAGGGGGAGGTGCGCAGCCCATGTAGGGCTGCCTCTTCTATTTTCCACTAAGGCCCATCATGGCCCATTTAGCTCCCGGGGGGTTCCGTTAACCTTCTCGATACTCCGGTAAAATCCCGATTTCACCCGGAACACTTCCGATATCCAAACATAGGCTTCCAATATATCAATCTTTACGTCTCGACCATTTCGAGACTCCTCGTCATGTCCGTGATCACATCCGGACTCCGAACAACCTTCGGTACATCAAAATGCCTAAACTCATAATATAACTGTCATCATAACCTTAAGCGTGCGGACCCTACGGGTTCGAGAACAATGTAGACATGACCGAGACATGTCTCCGGTCAATAAGCAATAGCGGGACCTGGATGCCCATATTGGCTCCTACATATTCTACGAAGATCTTTATCGGTCAGACCGCATAACAACATACGTTGTTCCCTTTGTCATCGGTATGTTACTTGCCCGAGATTCGATCGTCGGTATCCCATACCTAGTTCAATCTCGTTGCCGGCAAGTCTCTTTACTCGTTCCGTAATACATCATCTCGCAACTAACTCATTAGTTGCAATGCTTGCAAGGCTTATGTGATGTGCATTACCGAGAGGGCCCAGAGATACCTCTCCGACAATCGGAGTGACAAAACCTAATCTCGAAATACGCTAACCCAACATGTACCTTTGGAGACACCTGTAGTACTCCTTTATAATCACCCAGTTACGTTGTGACGTTTGGTAGTACCCAAAGTGTTCCTCCGGTAAACGGGAGTTGCATAATCTCATAGTTACAGGAACATGTATAAGTCATGAAGAAAGCAATAGCAACATACTAAACGATCGGGTGCTAAGCTAATGGAATGGGTCATGTCAATCAGATCATTCTCTTAATGATGTGATCCCGTTAATCAAATAACAACTCATTGTTCATGGTTAGGAAACATAACTATCTTTGATTAACGAGCTAGTCAAGTAGAAGCATACTAGTGACACTTTGTTTGTCTATGTATTCACAAATGTATTATGTTTCCGTTTAATACAATTCTAGCATGAATAATAAACATTTTATCATGATTATAAGGAAATAAATAATAACTTTAT